AACTAAACCATCCTTTTTCATACCCATTGGATGACATACCATCTTTCTTGCCTGCACGTTGCATCTTTCCAAATTGAAACTAAGCAAATTACCTTTTTATACCCAAATTAGGATTTACGGAGAGTAAGGCTTTCGCCTGTAGGGAGGCCCCTTGTTCATCCCAGTTCGAATTTCTAGACAGTAAGTACTAAGTCGCTTCCAGGTCTGTAAGTTTACGCTGCCATTTAATATTGGAAATTGCAGTGGATATCCGAACACCCACCAAAACTAAGATAATTGCCAATTTTTAGCTTCATTAGTATACGAACGAAATTCTAAATTTAGGGTGTGAATGAATTTAACGAGAAAAGTAATGAGATTGGGAAGGAAATAAGGTAATGAGATTGAACATCATTGATTTCCTTTTTAGTATTCTCTTGTTTATTATATAGCGTATTTGGAAACAATACAATACGTGGATGTAAATTTTTGCTCCTATTCTTTTGTGTTCTATCCACACGTAGTCCAAGAAACCACAATATAGCCAATATCACACTTTTTGTTCCTAAATAACAAATAAGATCAAGTAACACACTTTATTATTTAGTCATACAAAGGATTTGAAAACATGAAAAGGAACTATTTTAACAAAGAAATTCATATTACAATAAACAACTATGGCACAAAAAAAAAACCAAAAAAAAAAAACAAAGACACGAACATCACATGTCACAATACTCTTTTTTTCTCCTTTTTTGGGAAACAATGCAGCAAGTTTTGGGGAATCATGCATGCTTATCTTATTTAGATTGCACAACACTAGTATGAGACTAGTTTTAGTTGATGATTCGTGTAGGTATAGGTTTCTGTAAAGGAGGAAAGGTGCTAGGCCCGATTGATGGTTAAAAGAAATGAAGGGGCTAATTTATGGAGGTGAAGCACAGTGTGCACAAGAGAGTAGCTGCTTCGTCTTGTCCATCTTCCATTCATTTTATGCGAGTGCGTAAATCATCATATTGTATTCATGTTATTTATAATAAAAAAAATAAAAAATTTATCTTTGAGAGTGTATAAGTCTGAACCTTTACTTTTTATTTTTAATAAATACCTTTTATTAGTGTAATTATTTGATTAAAAGAGTTATGAATCAAGAGTACAGGAAAAAAATCTTGAGTCATGCACTTTCAATGAATATTTGTTAAGATTATCCCAACACAATATTTAAGTGAAAAATCCCAAAACAAACCACAGGCCTCAAAAAGAAATCGACTATATTAAAAAAAAAAAAAAAATACACCCATACTCGACCCCCATGCTTTCTTACTGGTGCAATTGAAACCAAAAGCTTAGGCCTCCTTATATAGGCCATAGCCAAACGGCCACTTTTCTTCTTTAGCGATATGAGACTTTTTGTCCCTCTTTTGTTTGCTTAAAGTCTAACAAAGTGAACCAACCATAAGCCAAATGCTGTGAGAGGTGCAAGATACATCCTCCAACACACAAGATAGCAAAGTGAATGAAGAACATGGCAGTAACAATCGAAATCCTTTCATCACCAGGGATTGCAACTCCCCAAATCGCAGAGCCATAGATTACGTAGAGAATTCACCACCTTTCATCTTCAAAAATATAGGAGAAAAAAAAAAGCCTTCTTTTCTTGAACCGCTTCCGATGATACGGGAAAAACTTTTATTTTTTCGACTTTAGATTGGGAACCTATAATTATTGTATTCCTGTTACTTATAATTGCTGCATCCTACAGACTTTGAAACAAAGGCGGCTATCTGTTTTTGTTAGTTTTTGCTTTTATTTTTATTTTGATTTTTTTTCCCTTTCATTTAAAGGATTACTACTCCATATGCTTTAATTAGCAGATGTATCGTAGCTCCGTTTGGCTTGCTTAAGGCAGTTCGTCAGAACATATGAAAAGTGAGGCAGGGTCCACAGAGCCAAACAAAAGATTTTTTATCCCCTATACCCAACAATGAAGCCAATTCCGCATTCATTTCTGCATAATTCGACAAATTCAGAGCCAAACAAAAGAAAGGAAAAATAGCACTTAAGAATGCAGCAACATAAGAGCATTTACCTGCCCATGTTCCAATTGAATGCAGGCACCTGAATGAAGTATATCCAAAGCTTCCATATCCAAAGCTTCTCATTATAAATATAACCTAATGTAATGCTGCAATAACTTGTGACGCATATATACCTTCTTTAAAGTCATTGTCTCTAGCATGATGCATAGTTGAACTTGACGAACCACCAGGATTTGTTTTCTTTTCTGTTTGAAGCCAAGTCCACCACCTACTAATACACTCACTGCCACAATAAAAAAAAAGAGAAAAAAGAATGAAGAACAAATTACAGCTCCAAATTCTGCAAGCGATGAAAGATAGAGTAAGTAGAGAAATTAGAGCCTAGCAATACCAATGGAAGCAATGAAAACAGGACATCAACTTCATAAACGGTAAATTCTTGTTCTGGTCATCTTCTGAGACTAAAGAATACAAACACAATGGACAATCACCATCCAGGTGATTCATTAAAGAAAGCCTCTCCACAGCTTCCTAGAAATACATTCAAACCACTCATTTAGCCATTTCTGTGTAGAATGCATAAGGCTTTATAGACAACCCAACTCCTTGATAGATGTTCTTGGAAGAAATTCAAAGATTACTAGATGAAAGAAGTGAAAAACAACTGAGATATCTACAAATCAATCATATGAATCCGAAATAGAAAATGAAGTACACAATAGATCAGAACTTGAATTCCAATTAAAGATTTTCAATATAGGAACAAATTCCTTCATTTAGAACATTGACATCCTAAAACAGTTTAATTGAAGTGAATTGTGCGGTCAACTAATAGATTGAACAATATAAAAACACTCGTTCCGTGAAGAAGAGAGGATTCTAATACCGCTCTACACCATAGTTCTCTACAGTGATGAAAGCCAATTATATTGAACTTTCAGCTTGTTTCTTGTGGATTTGTTGGTAAAAGACTTGTTTAGTTTCAGTTTAGACTTATAGAGTAAGGTAATCATCTTCTGGAGTATTGTTTTCAAACTCAGTGTCAACACTCGATTAATTTGCATCTACTGGGCAAGTGTGAATATTTCCCAAAGCATAAAACCCAACAAAAAAAAACATTCAATTCAATATATGAATATTTATGTGTGTATTGTACACACAAATCCATGAAACATCCACAATAATTAATTCGAAGCCGAAACACACCAAGAGTGGAAGCTCAAAACTCTACACAAGATTTGCATGCAATGCAAGAACTTCAAATTAGAGTTCCGAGCTTAATTACCATTTTTTTTGTAAGGGCTCACGGAGTCACCTCGGCAAAAACACTTAAACGAACTTGCTCACTCCTACACAATCAGAATTGCCTTCTTCAAAACTCCAATATCGAACAGAAACTCGCAGACCTATTCCAACTTCTACAACACAGTACCGCCCCTAACATCCATTGACAGAAACCATGCAAATCCGGAACTTTTGAAGCGTCGCTCAATTAATCTGCAAAAGAACAAAACCAAGAGAGAGAAAACCCCTAGAAATCAAGCTTCGACCACGATCAGAAACATAGTGAATGATCTATAGAGAGAAAAAGCACGCGAGAGCAAAAACATCAGGATGAATTTTTGAAACCTATACAGATACAAGCATAAAAGAAGATTGATAAAGCCTCCAAATTGAGAAGAATGAGAGAGTGCTCGAGAAGAGTACCTCACCGGAGCGATCCCGACGAGATTTCCCGTTGCCGGAGAAGACAACTTTCTCTCTCTTCTCTTTTTTCTTTCTTTTTTTTGGTACAGAGAAAGAGAAAGCGAAAGAGGGAGACCGGCCAATGGAGAACGGAGAGCAGAGACCGGAGAGAGGAGCGAGACAAGAGGGAGAGAACAGAGAGCAGAGCGAAAGAGGAGAGAGAACGGAGTGATGAGGAATATGGGTAGATGGAGATTTTTTGATTTCAACGAGGGTAAAATGGGGAATAGAAAATTTTCATTAATGAGAAGAGAAGAGATTTCCGCACAAGTTAAAATCAGAAGCACCTAAAAAGCTGCTTCTGATTTTAAGGTGAAATGAGCTTCAGATTTTTGAATAAGTTACGGTTTTGTTTCTTACCAAACAGTCCAAACAACTTTAGCTGGGTGAAGAAGCGCTTTTAGGCTCTCAAAATCAATACCAAACTGAGCCGATGTCGAACACTTCTTCGTGTTCGTCACTGTTTCAATCACCAAATAGAGAAAATCGTAAAGTCACTTCCACCTCCCAAGTGTTGAAACCAGCCATGGAAGTGAAAACCCACCCTCTATCTCGGCGTCAACTATGGCACCGTCGTCGACAACCTCACGCCATGTCATAGGTCTCCACCTCCCTCAAGATCCGAAGGACGATCGACTAGATCAAGTTCTTTTACGCCAACCCAACATCCTTCGCGCCTTCGCCGGTACCGACATCTCCTCCATTATCACCGTCGGAAACGCGACACTCCCCGCTACCAAGTCCTGGGTCGCCAGCAACATCCGTCCCTTTTTCCACAAACACATCATTAATCGCATAACTGTTTTCGGAGAGAGTGGAATTTTCTTAAGATTCCTCGATGAGCAAGCTCATACTCCGGCGAGAAGAAGACCAATTCAACCCGCAGGCCACAAAGTTTCAGAAAGGGATAACCTAGATTTTTTTTTTGTTTTTAAATCTTGGGGTTGGGTTTTTGTTGAGATGGTAATTAGAAACAAAGAATTATTATTATTTTTTTATTTTTAGGAAAAAGTTTACGAGCAACTCTTTTACCTTCTGTCTAAAAGAAAACTTTTTTACTTTCTAATTTTTTCTATGATAATACGTAAGAACTCTCAAAGAGTACAGTTACCACTTCATGATCTGTAAGCTGAAAAGTTATTTATAAATGATTTCGATAATACAGGTGGGAAGAATAAAAAGAAAAACCATCCATTCTTTTTGTTCCATCATAAGGGATAACTCCGTTTGCCCGCGACCGTTAGCATCATTTAATAGGAGTTGAGGTGTAAAAGTTTTGATGAGTGTCAAATTTTTATTGAGGGGACAACAAATGAGATGAGAATTAAAAGACAGCAGATCTGGACTCATCAATGGCCAGACATGCGTGTACTGTCTATCAGTAATACACATTTATAAAGTGACGCTAAACAAAAATAACATTAATAATATTGGAGACTGCAATAAAGCACGTTAGTTACAGAAAACTATTCGTACGTATCTCATCGTACGATTGATGAGTTGGAAGAGAGATCAGGCCCGTTTACTACAGAAAACTATCAGTCTCTCATTCGTACGATTGATCAGTTAGAAAGGCAGAGATCATGTTGAGCAGGTTTATTTTACGTTGTAAGAAAATAATAATCTACTCAAAGAGTTGTGGAACGAGTTTCGAAACAAGTGACTTGAAACCTTCTTCGGTGGGATGGATCGAGTCCCAGAACACATAAGCAGACGCATTCGAACAAGTAGTTGAAGTCAACTTGTTACACAGAATCGCCGTCTCTATGGCTCCAGTACCACAACACCCCTTATCTGATATTCCGAAGCCTGGATAGATAATTAATTTCACAAGCAAAGATATTGTCAATAACAGAAGTACAAATTAATCTTGATAATGATAAATACATATCTTTATCATTTTATTTTGTTTGTTTATTGAAGAAAATGGTAAACGTATTTTTGTAGTTTAGTAAGTTAATGTCTTTGTATGGTAACCATATACTAGTTCAGGTAAATCATATTATTTCGAGCCGAATAAATAAGTTGTAAAAGTTGAAAAAGATAATATTAAACTTATGCAGGATTGGAGTTAAATAAATTAAATTACGCTCACCATATTTATTGGGTTCTAGGATGATATGAAGAAGAGGATTATAAAGATCAACATAAATCATAGTGGATTGAGGAAGTTCACGGCTTAGGGAAGCTAACTGAGAAGAGAGCTTGGCGTTGAACAATTCAACTGCTTGGTTATAGTCCTTTGCACATTCTCTTTCACTGCCTCCTCCAATAGTTCTTGAAAATGGAAGGCATCCCACTGGTGATGTATTAAGAACCGCGATTTTTCTTGCCCCTATATTGTATAAATCCTACTCAATTCTGCATTAATTAATCGACTAAAAAAAGAAAATGTGTGTGTGTGTGTTTTGGGAAAGTCTCAAATTCGGGATCCAAATCATTTTTCGTGTGACCTGGCATCGCAGGTACATCCATGTAACACTTGATTTGCTTTAATATATAATACTTGATCATAACGGTTTTCGACTAACGTTTGGTTCATGGATTAGAATTATGTAATTAGAACTATTTTCGATTTACGTATATTTTTTGTGAGAGAAAACACTGTAACGAACCATGAATCATGATTCAAATCATGGTTTGAATCCTCCAACCAAACATCCCGTATTCCATTAAAACAAACTCAGTGTTAAACTAACGTACTAACGATGGTATCAATATCAAATTAGCTTGGATGTCGAATTAGAGATATTTTGTAAAAATACACACGCACACACATATATATATATATATATATATATAATACGATAATGATCAGAAAATTCATGTTATACGTACCCTGAAGAAATTGGAAGCCCATGTCGCCAAAAGATCAGTGTAGGTTGGAACATCATATTGTAACTGTCTAAGTTTAGTTCCAAAGTACCTGAATAAGATGTCATTGGTACCACTTGATATTAAAAAAAGGCTGTTGGCGATGATGGTCTCTGATCTTTCTTTCCCAACATCTTCTTTAAGCTTTGCCTTGTATTCTTTAAAGAATTGCAGTTGATCTGATTGTGGGATAACTTGCTAATCGTATTAAACATATGTGTACACGAATTAATGAAATGATAAATCATCTGTTTAACTTATAGATGTTACGTAATAGAATGATCATGAGAAAGTTAATTACGTCTTGTAAAAGTAAATATATTACATACGTTTATTTTGGATGATAAAGAATCATATCCGGAGCCACCTGAGGCAAAACACAAGCCTGTTTGCAGATCTTTACTTCGCAAGTTTTTGTCATGGTATGAAGGCAGAAGTTCTTTAACTCCCAAGGCTTCAGCTGCAAGGAAAAAAATGTTATTCGCTTAATTCGCTGAATATATATTTCCATCGAATTATATACATGCACTGTGCGGTTTTCCTTGTTAAATAAAAAGTATACGTATACTTTTATTATATTTGCAAATCTACATTGGGTTATCACGTACTTGATGTACGTGATGGAAATAAAGGTGGTATGGTACTACCACGCTATGTTACGCATATCTTTTCATTTATCATGCTTTTTGAAACTGTCAAATTAATTGATATTTTTTATAAGTTAGAATTATTTATAAAAATTCTTTCTGAATTATAACTCATTTAATATTTATTAGAGTCTATTTAAAAGATATACTCAAATTATAATTTTTAATTCTAACACTTAAAATTTTTAATTTTTTTAAAACACTATAATAAAATTAATAATTTAATTTTGAGTATATGAAATAAATTGACCTTTATATATATGATGAGTATGAATCGTTAAAAAAAAAAAAAATTAAGCCTTTCTTCCGTTAAGTTATTTAATAGAATGGACACAGGTCATATTCATTGTTGAGAAACGGTTGAAATGACACATGTTAATTTGTTAAGAAATATAACTTAAATTCTAAATTCAAATCAATAAAATAAACGGGACTTATATTGAGTCAATGGAAAGGAAATTGTGGACTTGCACCACACGGAAAAATAATGTTGTTTTTAATAAACATGGTACTATAGCACAGTTATGCCAAATTAAATGGATGGTGCCATGCAATTTAAAGGCTCTACTCTGTGATAGAAAAGTACTTTTTGTTTTCAATAGAAATAGAAAAGTACTTTAAGCTTTGCTTTCTTTTAATTACTGACCTCTGACCCAATCATAATAACTTAGATCCCTGTCTAAAATTTCTTGGCCTAAATCATGTCCTAACCAGTAATTTTATGACACTTTATTTAGGGTCTATTTAGTTAGTTGATTTGAGTTTTTAATTTGAGTTAAGATATAATTTTATGTGAGCATTTTTTACTGTAATAAAAAAGTTAAATGTGACTGTTTCTAAGAGTTTTTTACTGTAGCAAAACTCAAATTCTAAACTCGAATTGATGAAATGAACGGAACCTTAATACTTTAAAGACTTGCACATCAAATTTCCGTCTATTACTATCGTTAAGTCTGACGTTTTCTTTCTCCGTAAATCCGGATAAGAATCTTCTTCCCTCATTATTTTTTAATGGGAGTTCATTTCACCAACTCTAATTTTTTATTGTAATAAAAATGTTAGATATAATTATTTTTTATAGTTTTTTACGGTAAAAAAATTTAAATTTTAAACTCGAATCGATAAAATGAATAAAACCTTAAATTATAATTTTAAATTTGAGTTAAGTGTTTAGAATGAGATTAATTTAACATTTAAAAATTGAGTTTTGTGTTCACTTTCACTAAATCTAAATTCTAATTATACCCAAATGTCTTCATTCTTCTGCGAAAAATATATTGAATAATAAACAAGAGAGAACAAAAAACACATCTTGCTAGGAATTGTCAGGATTTTTTCTCTCTAGTCTAGGGTTTTCTAAATTCGACACTTGAGTTAAGAGCTCCAAGCCTCCAATTGGAAATTTAATGGCTCCTTCATATTGGAGAGGGTAGTAATTACTGGCAATTAGGAATTTAGTGGCTCCTTCAAATTTAATGGCTCTGTGGAGGGTGGGGATTTTGAAGAGTGAAAGACGCCCATAATTGGAGAAATCAAGCCTTTTTTTTTTTGGGAGGTTGTTGGAGTTTTAGGGCTCAAGAAAGATGGGATTCGGTCTATTCGTCTCTGTTGCAGAAGCTCCAAGTTCAATGAATCTACTAGTTATCACCACACAGATGATGTTCTCCCTTTTGTTTTTCGCCTTTTTGTGACTTGTGGTGAAATAATTAGTTACAGAAAAAATAAAATAAAAAAGTTCAATCAGATTAACAAAAGACGTTTTGGATAGATTAGAAAAAAAAGGACGTTTTGGATAAGAAAAGTGAAAACAAAGAAAGGAAGAGGTTAGTTTTACTCTGTAGAAACAACACGTCTTGGAGTACCAAAAACAATAAAGAAGGAAAAGAAAAGAAAAATGTCTACCTTGCCTTTATGACTGTGAATTGGATTCTGTCTAAAATTTCATAGGTAAACATTAATTGATCATCGTTAAACCCTAGATTTTACTTTTGCGGTTTAAAGGGCATTTTTTTTGGACGTTGGTGCTAATTTTGGACATGGAAGATTCTAAAAAAAATTGTGGATATGAAAGTAAACTCGTAGCTTTTCTCTACTAATAAATTAAAAAAAAAAAAACGTATATGTAGTATCACCAATATGTACATATATATAAATATAATTTGTATATAGGTGTACTGTAGACAAATATATATACAAGTTAATTTTCAGCAAAGAGAAATTGAAAGAGAAATGTCGCATGATCAGTAGTCACTCATGACGGGACCAAGGTAGGCTGGGCGACAACATGAGATAGTGAGTTTTTTCTAATTTTAATATTTATATGGATTTATTTTCATCACAATTCAATCATACCTTATAAAAGTACAATTTAACTTTCACTCCTTTCAGTTATAGAAATTACTAGTAATTATGACCAAATTGGTCTAATCCACAATATAATTCAAACAAAGTATTACTCCAACATTTATAGAGAAATAAAAAAAAAAGGTAGATGGAAGCAGAAAAGAAAATTAATGAAGATAAAAAAAAAAACTTGAACGAATAATAGATGAAGAAAATTATTGTACTTCAAAATTTTTGCTTTGCACAAATTGTTGGCTCCATTTCTCAAAATTCAATAGTCACGCTTAAAATCCAATATATACATATATATATATATATAATTCCCCATGTATATATAACTAATATATTCATAATTAATGTGTGTACCTATCAAGTCGGAGATAACTTTTCCATTGCAAAATCTCCCTGTTGGTTTCCTTCCGGGGAAGTCTTTTCCATAAGGAGGAAAATTGCACTTGGTTATGGAGATGAGATGGTTATTGTTGCCTGTATCAAGAAATGAGTCCCCAAACGCTTGAATTGCCAAAATACTCTCATTTCTTTGCAGTTTTGTGGCTGCTCCTGCAGTGCAGATCAATAGAAGCAGAAGGATACATGAGTAATAATAATTAAAACAAAAGCAGTACTGCATTTTCTCAGTCGTTTATTATTTGCCCTCTCCAAGATGTGTATTTATCGTGTATATCTATATAAAAACCAAAGCTGGCTTAAGGGTAAAGGCCATTATTTAGACAACTGCCTAAGGCCCCATTAAATTGAGGCCTCTTATTAGGACCATTACCTTTACACCTCAGCATATTGAACATATTAATTATATTTCTTTAAAAAAACAAATATTATTTCTTAATATTAATCTTTCTTAACACTTATTCTTTTTTTTTTCTTCCAACAATTGATTATGTATTGTCAAACTTCTCTTGTGGCATATTTGATATTTCAGTTCAAATATTTTTAAATGTTTTTCGAAGAACTGTTTGGTTGCAAAGCAAGAACAAAAGGGGAAAAAAAAATCACTTAATCTTACTATAGCAACTGATTATATATATGCACTTAATTTTATTCTCACAACTAACTAATTTTCTTTCAACCTTGCTCTTAATCATGCTAGCTCTCAAAAAGGTTCTTCTAAGGAGTTAAAAAATAAAAGATGGTAAATAATATTTTATCATTTGTTCTTAATTTCATTTGATTATTTGTTCTCTTAAATATTTTGTTATCATATTATAGTGATGTGGTTATTATTCTTAATTTGTACATGCATGCTGCATGCAAAATTTTTTTGAATATTGATTGATGAAAAAGTTGGGAAACTGGTATTATAAATATTAAAAATATGTATGACGTGGCATTGATACATGTCGCACACAGATTGGCACGTTGCTTTTTCATTTCCAGAGAATTTGGATTCAGAATGCTATCTAACCTGACTAATTAGATATTTCCAATATTAGTGCAAAAACAAATGCTCAACGTCCGAAAAGTACTGCAAACTATATCTGATGGGTGTGATTGTATTCTGGGAGAGAATTGATGCAAAACTAATTAATAACATAGCTTCCAAATTTATTGAAACGTCAAATCAATATATGGATTGCACATGAAAAGTTTGAGATAGGTTATTTATTTCATAGAGAAATTGGGATCATGATTCGGGACGTAGCTAGCATGGGACCGAAGCGCCCAAGTGGTGAAGGCCTATGCTAAAGTAAGTAAGAAAGTATGTTAAGGTTAAGAAGTCACTTAGTTGAACTATAAAGAAAGAAGTCACTTAGTTAAACTATAAAGAAAGGGAGGTTAAGATTACGAAGTAAGGTCAACTGGTTAAAGAAAGATGGTTATGAGATCGCTTAGCCGCTAATTAATAAAGTAAGGGGGACAGGCTGGACGGTGGGGGGCTTGACTTTTTATTTTTTAAATTTATATATTAAATTTCATTACACTACAAAACGCCCGTCCTAAAAAATTAAAAATTTGTTCTTATTCCTAAAATTTGAATAAATATCACAATTTTACACTTCAACAAAAGTCAATTCATCACAAAAGCCCAATTACACTAGATGACCACCTTGAAGTTTATATTATCTATGTCCTTTCTAATGATAAATAGCTACGTTTGAAAGGTATTAGTTATCTTATATGAAAAATATTTAGATTGGAAACCAATAAACTTATATTCATTAGTTTATCAACTTCTGATATTATCATTAATTCTATAGTGTATACTACTACTGTGAGAAGGGTACTAATTTCCGCTATGGATAAAATTGAATGATAAATTAATTTATAAATTATATTTTTATGTACAATAAGAAATATACCTTAAATAGCTTTAATATTGAGGTTATTATACAATATTTTCAAGGCATTAAAATTTGTCGGAGACCCATTTCAAAATATATATTTATATATATCGGGGACAATTGTAGTACATTAATTTGTTGAATTTAATTAAAGTTTTCATCATTATTAGTCAATCGTTATCGTAGCAATTAGTCTTCTCTGACAAAATTTTCTGACTTCATCACGGTTCGCATATAAATTGATAAGTAACTAGATGATGTACATGCTTACTAGGAAAAAAAAAAAAAATACTGGAGATACATGTTAAAGAGCTAGCTACGAACAAGCATAACAACCGCGAGTGCAATAAAAATATTGACACGTTAATAACAAACTATATATATATTGGACAGTGATATATATATATATATATATATATCATGGAATTGAAATTAAATTTTTAAATGTTATAGTTTCCAAAGACATCAATGTAAAACAGAATTTAAATATCAGAATAGTTTGGATGTAACAATGTTCTCACGATGATTAAATGAAAAAATAATACAACAATATCAATCAAATGTAAAAAATATTTGACTAATAAAGATTATATATGTCAAATTTTGCTCTAAAAAACGCACTCTCATTCGAGAATGATTCTCTCACTTGAATGCTGGAGTTTAGATTACATTGAAGATGCTCTAATTTGTTTATTTTTCTACTCTATGTTCATTTGGAATCCCGTATTGTAGAGTTGTCATCTCCAGCCATTAATATGCCTTGGTTTAATTGATAGGGTCATTGACCATATACTTCTTTATTATGCAATTTAGGGTATTTAACAATTCAATTATTGCTCCAACAAGAGAGAACATCGAAGAGTACTATATGTGGACGCTACATAACCACTGAAGTTGTGCGGCCTATGTTGCTATAAGAGTGACCGATAACTACTTTTGTACCTCGCTGCATCTATATTATATGCTTAGTTCATACTGTTATATATAGATCGAGAAATTATTACTTACTACTATGACATCTTGTAAAAACAGTTGCATGGATCTTTAGTTACAATATTTGCCACTAAAGGAAAGGAAGGGATCATATCTATGTCGCAAATGAAAGGAAATATGATTTCGTTGACCAGATTTCTTAAAAGTACAAGTATGCAAGAAATTCGAGATAAGATTGGTTAGCTAGAAGGATATAATTATCCCCATATATATATTTTTTTGCTTGAAGATGTAATTGCTAGTTATTAATACTACTTAAATGCAATCATAAACGCACACAAGTCACTTGTACTACTACCACGTCGTCTACATCTACTGCTGCTACTACAAGAAAAGTCTACTAACAACTACTGATCCTGCTAGAAGAAAAATAAATTTGCTACATTGAAAAATGTCTCCAAGTGATAAACAAAATAAAGACTATTAAGTACCCTTTTTAAATAAATAAAAAAAGCCTATTAATAAGTACTCTTGTACTACTAAATTTGTAAAACCAAATTTTTATACGTAACTTTCTAAGTATGTTTACAACATATTAAGACCCGGAACGAAAATACTAATTAATTAAGAACTAAAACTAAAATTTTCAACGAGTGAATATATATATATATATATATATATATAAGTTAATAAATAAGCCAAATTACTGTTTTCGTCCATAACTTGTCTAGTTATGAACCATAACTTGACAAGTTATTCCCGGTTTTTGTCCATTACTTGTCTGGCTATGAACCATAACTTGACAAGTTTATCCATAACTTATCTGATTATGAACCATAACTTGACAAGTTATGGCTTGTTAATTTCTATAACTCAAAGTTAGCCTATATACTTTCTTAAGCTTTTCATATTGGCCTATTTCCTACTATTTCCCTTCAAAGAATTATGCATGTCTATTAGTCCACAAAATGGTCCAGAGAAAACAAGACGAGTTAATTAGAGAAGAATCAAACGATGAAGAGTGTTGGAATTGTTCAAGTTTAAGTATAAGAACAAGGTTTGTAGCTTGACAATCAAAGTCTCATATTGGAAATTTATAAAGTGAAGAAGCAATTTATAAGCCACCTCACAAGTGAGTGGGTTGACGAAGTGGCAGCAAGACAGTCTCTTGTGGCATTTTTGGTGCTTATTAGGCGTAATTGTCGCTTGGCACCTAAAAAAAGTATATATTTTAATTTTACTTTTAAAATTCAGATTTTAAAAAATAAATTAATACATTTTTAAGTTTCTGAAAGGTTCCAACCTTTCAAAAACAATGTAGTTTCAAATTTTACAATTACAGAAAGGTTACAACCTTTCTGATTAGGTAACAGTTATTTCTAAAGGGTGCAATTAGAGGTTGCCATTTAATTATAAATAAGTAAAACGTAACCAGAAAATATTACTCTCTCAAATCTCATTTTCTTTCTTCTCCAGAAAAATACGTGATATGTTCTTGGTGTTTTTTTACTTTTGTTCAGTATTAAAACACATAAAAAGACTTGTTATATACTGAACAAAGCATATTCCTTACGTGTTTCAAATGAAGTGAGTAAGATTGATAGAGATGGCCGTTTTTTATTTTATTTTTATCTTTTTGGGTTAAAAAAGACTTCGTTAATGGAGCAAATTAAAGAATGAGAAATGAATTAATCTCTTAGGGAGACAGAAGCCTTAATGGAATTAGGCTCTGCAACCTTATTGCCTTGCACAGAGGTTAGAACCCGGCTTTAGTCATGCTAATAATTTAACTAAACTTAAGTTAAAAACTGTATTTTATCAGTAGAGTACTTTTATCGTACCCTTTTTAAAAAAAAAAAAAAAAATTAACCACCAGCTAGATTATTTTCCAAAACCTCATTTGTTACATGGGGAGTTTTACTACATGGGGAGTTTTACTACTATGAAACATGTAGAAAGGAAGATAATCAAGATTAAGTTGATGAAAGAGATTCCATACAAAAATTCACCATAAAGAGATTCCAAGAAAAAAATTCAAAGTACTTAAAAGAAAAAAAAAAAGAGAAAAATGTCAAAGACTAGTTGTTCAATTTTGCTTTTATAGTAATTTAAAATATCGTTTATTGCTACAAACATCATTAGCCACTTTAAAACATGACTAAAAGCTTTCTGTTTAAATAATTCGCTAAGGTGAGTTCACCACTAAAGATCACTATGGTTATTTCTTAAGGTAAGTACTTCACTATGGGGAGTTTACTACTATGAAACATGTAGAAAGGAAGATAATCAAGATCAAGTTGATGAAAGAGATTCCATACAAAAATTCACCATAAAGAGATTCGAAGAAAAATATTCAAAGTAATAAAAAAAAAGGAAAAATGTCAAAGACTAGATGTTCAATTTTGCTTTTATATAAGTAATTGAAAATTTCGTT